CTTTCGTTTAGTGTATTAGACCTGGAGGAACTGATCGGTCCGCACTGTATAATATTGAAGGGGAAAGCTCTAAGGTATCACCCCACGAGTTTTGTGAAGCTTTAGCTAAGCTTGTCAAGCCATATAGTAAAACTGCTACTCGAGAGTTGTCCTAGCTGGGTTGGCACCGTCGATGGGAGGTCGTTAAAGTCGCAAAAGTTGCCGCCCCTTTGCCAAACAGGTCGGCTGGTCCTACGACACGTTAGAGAAAAGAGTGAAGTAGGGATCGGGGTCTTTTGGTCACCTAATGATCCTTGCAGATACAATTCAACAATGTCTCCTCACCCATACCGTCGTTTTTGCTTTCTTAAAGCTTCGTCTCGTATAAGCGTGAAATATATTTGCAAAATATTGCTTTTGTTCGCGCTAGGATCTGTTTGGCCGTGCAAAATAGGATTCCGTCGGACCTAAAGGTTTACTCTTCATTGAAAAGTAGTTCGACGTCGTCATCATAGGAGATGCTAATAAAAACTTTGATTGAAAACGTGACGAAGGGTAACAGGACGAACGATGACAATTTTTTTTACGAGACTTCGCGGCAAAAACTCCGCTTGCCGAAGAATTGTCATCATATCGTTCCAAAACCCTGATAAAAAATGGGGACAAACAACCCGTCTAGGTGAAAATTATGATGATATGTTGACTTCAAGGTATAGGTAACGACAAAAGTCAATGAAAAAAAGGAAGAATGTTCATTAACAACACACCTCCCGAATTGACAGCTATCACCGGCGTTCCAACATACATTGCTTCAATGGGAACAATACCAAAGTGTTCATTGTGAGGAGTATAGAGAACTGCTCGACTGCATCGTAGCAATGATATCTTCACCTCATCAGCTTAATATTTTCGACATTCCATAGAATTCACCACAAACACGATAACAGCGCAACATTTTAGTTATCAATATGTTATTTCAGTAATATATCCATTTTCACTTCAAATTCACCCTTTTTCAAACCAAATTCACCCTTTTTCAAACCAAATTCACCCCTTTTCAAACCAAATTCACCCTCACTTTTCATCAAATTAACCACACTTATTAGGGCGGGCAACTCATCAACCAGATCACGCCAGACATCACTGCGAGCCCCGCCCCGACGGCCACGCCCACTTGTCAGCGCGGACATAGATTCTCAAATCTTGTTTCATAACTTCTGCTTTTGCTGTTTCCCACAAACACTTTGACTGAAAACGACCGGGCATTGACACATGGCCGACTCCGCCCATTCTCTAAAGGGTTTGGCAATCTAGGCTGACCACGCCCACTTGCTTTTCGCGGAATTTTGATATTTTTTCAAAATTTTTGCATTTTAGGGCTGCTGCGTGAAGCTGTGAGAGGCTCCGCCCACTTTGAAGAAGCCCCGCCCACTTTTCAAAAATGGTGCAAATCGGCAGTATAGAGTCTCGGCTGGCATGCTAGGGTATTGCTGATCATTCGGAACAAACTTTGCCTGATTTTCTTGTTCCGAGTGACGAACGAGACCCTAGCATGAAAGCCAAGACCCTATACTGCCGATTTGCAATTTTTGAAAAGTGGGCGGGGCTTCTTCAAAGTGGGCGGAGCCTCTCACAGTGGGCGGGGCTTCACGCAGCAGCCCTAAAATGCAAAAATTTTGAAAAATATCGAAAGTCCGCGAAAAGCAAGTGGGCGTGGTCAGCCTAGATTGCCAAACCCTTTAGAGAATGGGCGGAGTCGGCCATGTGTCAATGCCCGGTCGTTTTCAGTCAAAGTGTTTGTGGGAAACAGCAAAAGATAAGAAAAGTCACATAAGAAGTTATGAAACAAGATTTGAAAATCTATGTCCGCGCTGACAAGTAGGCGTGGCCGTCGGGGACTCGCAGTGATCTGGTTGATGAGTTGCCCGCCCTAATAAGTGTGGTTAATTTGATGTGAAAAGTGAGGGTGAATTTGGTTTGAAAAGGGGTGAATTTGGTTTGAAAAAGGGTGAATTTGGTTTGAAAAAGGGTGAATTTAAAGTGAAAATGGTATATATCCTGCATAGCAATGCGAAGCGGCGGTTTCATGAAGCTTGGCAAGAATCCACCTGCGGCTGCTTCTCTTTCACTAGTGGCAAGTTTAGACCGCCAACTATTGGTGGGAAATGTTACTGTAGGTGGTCCACACCTCCCAGCACTCGCTTTGCATCGTTATACACAGTTGTGATAGTGATCACTATCATTTTATTTCACACAGATCATCGAACTGCGTAAATTTTTTTGCACAACTCCTGATA